AAAAATTTCAACTGAAATATTATAAAGAATGAATTTGTCTCACTTTTCATCTCTCTCAGATAGAATTATTGTGTTTAACAAAGATTCTACTGCTGGTTTTCAGAGATTCTCATTCTGAATAAGAAATTCTGCACTGAATTCAGACATTGTAGTCAGAATGATGAAGTTTTCAAAGAAGAATGACTCAATTGAAGCTATAACTGGTTTTTGAACTTCAATATCAGTTATTAACTGAGAAAAGAACTGCTGATTGATTTCATTTTTAATTCTGAAAATGAGGTTTGAGTTTAGCTTATTTCTCTGCAATATATTCTGATGTGAAACTTTGAGAATAAGTCTTCTATTTCTGAAGATTTGAAGATTTTTCTCTTTTTATATTTTTTTCTTCACTCTTCTATCACTAGAAGTATGAGCAGTATTCTTCTCAGTTTTCTCAGAATTTTAAGCAGGTTTTGAAATAGCAGATTTAGAGACAGTAGGTTTAGAGATAGCAGATTCAGCTGCTTGAGTATATGTTTTCTTCTGATTTAAAGAAGAAGAAGAAGAAGAAGTAGAAAAGAAAGAAGAGCAAACTGAAGAGTCAGTAATTGTATTAGAAATTTTCAAAGTTTTTTGAACTGTGTTTGAAATTCCAAGTTTGAACTTGATCACTTTCTGTAGTTGTCTAGTCTGAGTATGAAGAATTAACAGAACTTCTTCATTTATCTCACTCAGACACTGCTTTTCAAGAATTTTACTTACTTTTTCAAGTTTCTGTATTTTAAGAACTTGTTATTTCTCTATTTCTTCTTTCTTTCTTCTCTTCAGAATTTCAATCTCAGAAATAGCATTTGAGAAAGCATTCTTTTTCATATCAACTGAGTGTACTTTCAAACTCATTATTCTTACTCAATGAAAAGTTGATAAGACTAATTTAATTGAGATATTTATTAAACTCTTTTGAATTGAAAAGTTGATCAGACTGTTTCAATTAAGAGATTTCTAAGTCTGTTTTCAATTGAAAAGTTGATCAGACTATTTCAAAAGAAGAATAACAGACTTTTGTGTATAAAACACCTGATTTTTTTCACACTAGTTCAGTAACTAGATTAGATTTTTGAAGAGAATCTAATAAACTAAAATTGATTTTTAAGATAAATCAATAAAATCTTTATAATCTCTTTCTTGAAATACAGTGAGGAAAAGTATGATATCAATTAATAGTAAATCAGATGATATGATAGTTTTTAAGAGAAAAACTGACAAAAAATAAATCAATTTTTTGCAGAGAAATTGATTAAAACTATTCAATTTTATTCTAAATTATTCAATTCTTCTCACACAACAAGTATGCAACTCAAATCAGTTAATAAAGAGTGTAATAAAGAATTAAGTATTAATAAAAGCTCTTCAGTCACTGAAAAAGTAATTCTTACTTAAAAGAATATAAAATTATAATAGAAAATAACTCTGTTTTTAATTCTTTGTAAGAATATTATATAAAACTCAGAGAAAAACACCTTACTTTTTCAAAAGAAGTAAAAAACTATTTCTAAAATCTTTTTTTTTGCATTAACTGCTGCAGAAGAATGAGATAGAAACTGCTAAGATATACACTACTGTATACTCTTTATCAAGACTTTCTCTCTTCAGAGTCTTAATATTATAGAGAATATAAGTCTATTTCTATATAATAATATAAATATTGTCAGCAGAATGTAGAGAAACTGATTATTTATATCTCAAAATAGAAGACTTTGTCAATGATTATATCAATATAGAGTTAATTCTTAAATTCAATAGAAATCTAGTGTTGCTGTTCTCAATTTCTTACACAATCTATTAAATATTGAGATATTAAAACTAGATTTAATATATCTCACTATGCAGAGATCAAAGACTCAGTCAGATCTTAAAGTATACTGATTTTATAGTTGTTATATCTGCTGATTATGTATTGAGTACAGTTACTGAGATATCTTTTTGTACTTTTCTATCAGAGATGAGTCAGATTGAGAGAGATGATATAAGAGTGAGACTTAGTATTGATGTCTAGATACACTGAAGACAGATCACAGAGATTACACTTCAGAAGTGACTATTAATTATATACTTGATATTATCACTAAGATATCTTTTTGTATTTTTCTGCTGAGAATGAGCCAGATTAGAAAGAGTGATATAAGAGTAAGACTTAGCATTGATGTTTTGAAACATCAAAGATGAACAGGGTTTTTGTGGAGATCACTTCTCAGATATCTTCACAACTACAGATTGAGAATCTTTCAAAATCAAGAAGATTGATGCATATGGCTAGGTCTCTTCACCTTACAATTTGTATGGCAATTTGGCCCGGGGTTGTGATGTGATAGGGGAGAATGAGGGATAATCCCACGCAGGAGTTCTGAATGACATCTGGTTCACATTTGGCTGAATAACTCCATCATCACACGGGGTATGCAGTCAGTGATGGGGTCAAAATGCGCATATGATCAAGGGCTTTTCAATGAATCTATCGGCGGGTTCTTATTCGAAAAATCGAGCGAGTTCGTGATGAAGCGGTTGTATTTGTGAATATTGTACTCTTTTACACCTGCAGATGTGAGGCTTCTAATTGATAATACTAATACTCTACAATTTTATGAATAATATTGAGTCTCTTAGTCTGAATCTCAACATACTCAGATAATATAAGAGATGCTTGATTCATTTATAACTGATGATTCAGATCATAAATAACTGTATTAAATAATATCTTAACAGTTCTACTGATCTGAGATTAGACTGATCACTGAGACTATGAATTTCACATTTGATCTCATTTGATCTGATCTCATACATTTCTTGGCATGAATTCTGCTGAGACTGACTATCAAAAAAACATGTAAAGTGACTATATATCAGATCTTAAAATGAAATCATGACTTGAAAAAAATGAGAAAGTGATCTCATTTGATTTCATTTAGTCTCATTCTTAGTATAAAGTTACTATTTTTAGACATTTTAAGGTTTTTTTTAGACTATTTTTAATTTTTTAAAAAGTAATGCTTTTTGATAACACTCAAATGAGATTTAAAGTCATTTAAAGTAATAAAAATAATTTAAATTGAGAAGTAGAAATCATGATCTTATTTGAAAAATGTGATAAGAGTAGACAGTAAGTCTCACTGAGACAGTATGAGACTACTATCTAATGTTAAAACTGTGTAATGAGATCAGTCAAATTGATAATGAGACTATTAAAAAATCTGGTTCTGGTCTCAGACACGGTCACACGGTCAGTCTATCTGAGATATTAAACAGTATCAAATACTTTATCTGAAACTGTAACTGCTATTCTTCTGTTATCTCACAAAAGAACTGTAGAAAAGATCTACTGAAATCACTTAATATCTCTAATAGAATCTAATGAGATGTAGTAATTAACTTGACTATTAATCTCTCTGAGAGTAAGAGTTGTAAGAATGTTCTGATTATTATTAACTAATTAAGTAAGAGTATAATATTAAGATCTTATAATAAGATAAATACTGAATATGTCACTGAAGTCTTTCTACAGAGCTTATTCTATCAGATATATAACTTGCTGAGATCTATAGTATCTGATTAAGACTGTTAATTCATAAGTGCTCTCTGAACAAGAATCTATCAAGTTCTTAAGATTATTTATCATTTATCAACTATCTATCACTCTGAGATCAATAATGTATTAGTGTGGCGGGCTGCGCCTGATCAATCATATAGACTATTCCGTTACACTCCACAGATTCCACGTACGCTCCGATCCTCGGCCATTCTCGATTGCCGATCCTCGGCCGCCACCCCGATCAATCATATAGACTATTCCGTTACACTCCACAGATTCTACGTACGCTCCGATCCTCGGCCATTCTCGATCACCGATCCTCGGCTGCTACGAACGCGCATATATTCTTCCGCCCCGAAGCTCCACCGCGTACACCACCACATACACATATAAATATCCACCTTGATCACTGATTCTTGCACTTTCTCTTTCTTTCCTTCTCTAGCATTTTTATCTTTGTTATATAAGACCTATCAATATTATACTGATCTAATCAGTGTAGGCCTCTTACATTATAAAAACACTCATTGTCTTCTTATTAGAAAACAATTATCCAGCATTATCTTCTCATTAGAAACAATTATTCATCAAGAGATATTCAAACACATAACAACACATAAGAAATAGAGAAACAGTCACACAGTTAAGTGGACACCAAGTCCTCAGATAGAAGCTTGCTCGCCAGTCGCCCTGGCCCTGTAACAAGATCTTACAAAGAGAATAAGATCTTACAAGAGAACATTAGCAAAAGACCTGAGAGTTCTGACACTCAGACATATAAGAATACAATTACACTTCTTCAGATTTCACAGATATCATACATTCAACAATCAATATAATCATGTCTAACAATAATATGAAACCCTTGAACATGAACATAGACACAGTGTTACAGTGGCTTCAAGCAATGTTGAAACTACAATAACAATAAATAGCTGATATGCATGCAACTCAACAACATCAATATGAAGAGATTTAACAATTATCACAAGAAACTCACACAATTCCAACATCTACAGAATTGAATACAAAAGCACTGAAAGAACACTTAGATGCTCTCACATATTTTGATGCTTCTGATCTCACTCTCTACTCATTATGAAAAATGAAAATGCTTATAAAACTGAGTGTAGATGGAGATTTCATCAGTTCATTAATCAATCAAGATTGATATATCAATGAAAGATTGAAAGATTATGCAAAACAGAAGTTTCATTCATGAATAAAAGTATGTAAATCAGTATTACAAACATCTGATAACATCATGAAATATCTTGATATTCTGTTCCAAGACACTGTCATGCAATAGAAAGTATTAGATTAATTACAGAGTGTCTGACAGAGAAATACTTCTCTTACAATATTCATCTCTGACTTCAACACTAAGATTCTAGAAGCAGGTAGTCTGTCTTGAGAGGATTGAATGAAGATTAGCATGCTCAAGAAGACATTAACTTTCAAACTCTTACAGGCCCTTGTAAGTGCAGATGAAGACCAGACTTATGAAGGCTTCTACACACAGCTCCAGACAATGGATGATTATCTTACCAAGCTCAAGAATATACAGAACAGTGGCAGAAGACATTACATTCATACATCTGCACTGACAGATAACCCAGCCACTCATACACTCACACTGAAGAACAATGATGCAGATGCCATGAACTGGATAGATTCAAATGCCTATGCACAAGCAAGAGTTTCCACTGTTTGAACAGGCTTCTGAGTCCCTGGGATCACTCCTGAAGAAGTTACTAATCAATGTCAACATGGAGTATGCATCAATTGTAACTGATTGAGACACATCACTTTCAACTGCTGATCAACCTATGTGCCTCCACACTTGAGAGAAAGATCAAAGGATGGATCAGTGCCTGTCCACACCAGCCATGTTACATTAGAGGAAGATTCAGAAGATAACTATGAGAATGCCTCAATGAAACAGGGAAAAGATTAGCTCCTGTTCAAATTCACAAACAGGAGCTTGAAGAGGTTGAATGACAATGATTTGAAGAGAAGTCACTATGCAATGATAAAATCTCCAGTTGTAAGACATCATAACCTCCAGCATATCCCCTTATCAAATACTTCACACCGAACCACCGCGCCGCCACCAATCCATTCCCTTCTCAACTGACCTGGACTCCAAGTTCCGCGTTATCCGAAACAGCGGCCCTTGACCGATGGGAACTGCTTCTGGAAAGGGGGGACTAATGTGGCGGGCTGCGCCTGATCAATCATATAGACTATTCCGTTACACTCCACAGATTCCACGTACGCTCAGATCCTCGGCCATTCTCGATTGCAGATCCTCGGCCATTCTCGATTGCCGATCCTCGGCCGCCACCCCGATCAATCATATAGACTATTTCATTACACTCCACAGATTCTATGTACGCTCCGATCCTCGGCCATTCTCGATCACCGATCCTCGGCTGCTACAAATGTGCATATATTCTTCCGCCCCGAAGCTCCACCGCGTACACCACCACATACACATATAAATATCCACCTTGATTGCTGATTCTTGCACTTTCTCTTTCTTTCCTTCTCTAGTGTTTTTATCTTTGTTATATAAGACCTATCAATATTATACCGATCTAATCGGCGTAGGCCCCTTACAATTAGAATGAATAATTCAGACTGTAAAGAACTATCTTTATAAGTTCTGTGATTATTTATAGAATGATTAACATAATCTTCTTCTATATGTAGAAATTACTATTAATGATCAAGATACTGTTTTAACAGATATAAGTCTGTTCTTTCTTACACACAGTTATTACATGAAGGTGTTGAATCTTCTAGAGATCACACAGTTCACACTGAATCTTCACAGTTTAATTCAGATTGCTGATAATATAGTAATAAAGCTCTGAGACATCTATAACTGAGTAGAAGTCTTCATAACAAGTATTAAATAAGATTAAGAAAATTAAGTTAATATTTAATGAGATTCTGCTGAGCAGTATAAGATAGAAGGTCTTATATAATTAAATCTTAAAAATATACAGATCACACACTTATTCTGTATATTAAATTATTATTATATAAAATACACAGTGATAGAAGTTCTAGACAGTTATTACTACTATCTTAATACTTTATCAGAGATTTATAATGTGTTTCATATAAGCTTACTTTATTATACTAACACTGATTCATTCTCTTCTCAACTGACTTCTGACTGACAGTTATCAGAGATCATAGAAGAAGATAATAAAATTATATAAGAAATTAAAGATATTCTTGATAAGAGACTTCACAGCTGTAACTAATAATATCTTGTAAAATGAGTTAGCTATAATCATCTAATCTGAACTCTGAGTTTTATATTATCTGAGACCACAGTTCTTGACTGATAAGAACTATGTATAATTATATCTCTGAAAAGAGAGAACTAATGTAACAGGCTACACTCAATTAATTATATAGACTATTTCATTACACTTCACAGATTTTACTGAAAGCTCTGATTCTCAGTCATCAATTCTCAGCTGAAAAACTCATGAAATTTCTATTCTTTCACTCTGAAGCTTCACTATATATACATATAAATATTCACTCTAATTGCTGATTTTCATACTTTCTCTTTCTTTTCTTCTCTAATGTTTTTCACTTTTGTATTATAAGATCTATATATTATATTAATCTATTTAGTATAGATCTCTTACATGTTAAAATCTTTCATTAAATTTATCATTGAATCTTTTATCAAATCCGCTGTTAAATCTTTTATTAAATACACTGTTAAAATCTTTCATCAAATCTGCTATTGAAATCTTTCATTAAATTCATCATTGAAATCTTTCATTGAATCTGTTATTAAATCTTTCATTAAATACACTGTTAAAATCTTTTATTAAATACACTTTTGAAATGTTTCATTGAATTCATCATTGAATCTTTCATTGAATCCGCTGTTAAAATCTTTCATTAAATACACTATTAAACTCTTTTATCAAATTCACTGTTGAAACTTCTATTAAATCTGCTATTACATCTTCAATTCAAAGTAGTTCAATGTCTTAATTTAATAAATACTTTAATTAATTGACAAGGAAATGATTGCTTCATATAAATATTAATAAAAGTATATTTTAAATTATAAGAGAAAGGTTAAAAAGTTCATTATAAATTTATAATAGATAAAAATTACAGAAATTCAAATTATCTTTATTCACTATTTATAGTAATAAGAACAAATCTCATACTGCTTTCACTTTTAAATTTATATTATATGAAATTATAATCTGAATCTTTCTAATTATTATAATATTATTTTATATAAGTAGATCTGAAATATTCTTTTATATCTTTTTCTCTTATAAAGTTCTCAACTGTATAATGTAAAAAAGCTTTAAAATCTTCATTAAACTAAGTATTTAACTAACTTTTCAATTCTGATAAGATATCTGATATAATCTTTAACTTTATATCACATGTTAAACAGAGTTCTCTAGCAGTTTCAAGACAGTGAATATTTCATTGAATTTAATATACAGTAGTCAGATAATAATCAATACTTTATATAATCTTAGCAGATATATAATCATTCTCAAAATGATGTACAATCTCATTGATAATGAAATCATAGAGTTGAGATAACATATTGATGATAAAGGTAAGAAAGACATGTATTTAAATAATATTTGATTGAAAAAGATGTGTATTGAATGATATTGAATGATTCTAGAGAAATGCAGATATTTTGAATTTTTAGTGATGTTTTACTACTAATTTTCAGAGGGGGCTGGGAAAATTCTGTTTTCGCAAGTAATATGTCCACCACAATATGCTGCTTCAACGATTATCTTTGCTAAAAGGCCTTTAACTGGGTTAGAACTGCAACATGCTTTTGCTGTACAAAGAATACTTCAGCGCTTGATAAGCACAATATCGCCGACATTGAACGGATAATCTTGTATGTGCTGGTCTAGTCACCATTGGTGAAGAGAGTGATATCACCCGTTTGGTCCAACTACACAACACAGGAACACCTTGAACGCACTCGGAAGAAGGGTTTTCCCAACGCTCATACTGATATTACAAAAAATGTGTCTCCTACTTGTCATTTGAAGCTTTTGAAACTGGGTATAGCCGAGGTACAGATGCTTTGACTGAGAGATTTACTATGCTGCACGGAACTGGGGCCACCATGCCAGCAAATCTTCAATTGAAGGAAATAAGTTAATTATCAATCTACTTCAGAGCACAGCTAAGATATCTGCATGCAGCCAGGCTATGGAATATCATGGATATCATAATGTTGCAACTGAGATGACAGGTTTGCACCTTGCAGCGTACTTCGGACTAGAACAAATCCACATCAGCTCTACTTGAAAGAAATGCCAATATTGAGTCCAAGGATTATTTCCGCCGGACCCCACTCTCATATGCAGCTTGGAATGGCCATGAGACAGTGGTGAAGCTGCTGATTGAATGGAATGCTAATATTAAGCCCAGGGATAATCTTGACTGGACCCCGCTCTCATGGGCGGCAGGGGATCGCTATGAGCAGGTGGTCAAGCTGCTGCAAGAGGCGGAATATTCTCAGCTGTCTTTACCCTGTTGAATTTTACTAAATAGGCCGTTAGGGACAATCCATATTAATAACTCTCATTCTTTTCATTTTCAATTACTTAAACTTTCGAACCCTCTTCTTCTATTTCCTAACCTCGACTTCACAATGCGTGACCTGGGTGAGAGATTTACTTCATGCCTTTCTATCTTGCTTAATCGGTTATTGGTATTGCAGCTACCAGGAGAATGTCCAAACAAATACAATAAGAGTCCAAGTCCATGAGCAGCAGGTGATTGTGATAGTGATATACAGTCCCCGTCTGCCAGTGTCGATTCAATTCAACTTATCCCGCAGACTCAGCGTTGCATGGCATTCGCTGATCTGGCCCCCTGGCGCCCCAACGCTCCTTACCATGTAATACAGGGCTGGAACCGCAAATCTCCTAACATTCCTCCGCACCTCCCCCTCATCGAGTATAAAGGCTGGGACTACGAGGGTAATTCTATATCCAGCGCTTTCATCTCATGTACATGTACGTTGTTAGAGATCGCCAGCGCCATATAAATGACCCTCGCGAGAGCGCTGTAAGTCACCACCGGGCCCAAAAAAAGGGTTCTCGATCAACAACCGCCCGGCTTAGACTGGTAAGTTGTTCATGGGACGGAACCCGTTCCATATGTGCAACATATATATATATATATATATGCCACTAACCAAAACAAAAACCGTTCCAGTTCAGCTAGGGGAAAGAATAGTGGCCGATAAAATCTCACGCAAAGGGAGGTTCATCCGAGTCGAGTTGGATAGAAAAAGATATATATGTCATTGACGTATACCACACACACACACACACACACACACACGAAACAACCGGAAGATAAAAGATACCCGTCCAGGCCAGGGACCGCACCGTGCGGGATATGATATGATATCTCTCTATATATTAAAGAAAAACCAACTTTTCCGTGCAAAAAACGCTGTAACGTGACCTCACGTGACGTCACGTGCACCCCATCAAAAATCCATGGATACGTAGTGGCGCCTGCCAATTGCACCACTCTATCTACCCCCTATCATCACCACTGCCTCTACCACCCCACAGCCCCCCCTATCACT